CATATATATATATGTTTATTTTTTGTCTTTGTTCTGTTATATTGGTTCGATAAAAAAAATGTCGTTATGGATGTCGCAGTTACGACACAGTGGCGCAAGTTGATGATGTAATCTGTACTGTCCCAATTCGCAATTTTTGTGCTCACTTGTAACCTGCACACTCGAACACTTATGTGCACTTCGACTGAATCCACACTTCACAGAGGGATGTAGGGTGCACACTGAGCATTAATTAGTAGGAGGCCTACTAATTAAGCACTCCTTAGGTTCAGCTGTGTTGAACCAGAGCAGCACCCAAAACATGCAGGACACCGGCCCTCCAGGACTGACTTTGGACACCTCTGCCCTGGGGGGAAACACTGTGAAGCTAAAACAGCAGCAGAGGACCTTTTGTGTTGCAGTAATTATACCAAACCTGCCATCATCAGCACCCAGATCCATGGACTCACCTTCTCCATCCTCCTCTGGCTGTTTGGGGCTCTCCTCCTTCAACGCTCCCCGCATCAAAGCATCTTCTGCTGCTTTCTCAACGAGCCCTGGTTCAGTTGTCATGGCTACAGTGGGTGGTCCTCCTTCCTGATCAGAACTCCGGGAATCATCCTCTTCCTCTTCCTCGCTGGCAGTATTCATTGGCTCACTCTCCTGGAGATGCAGTGAAAGAGGTTGCAAAATCAAGTAAAGTTGTGAAATGAAACGTAACATTTCCTGTGAGGAAAGTGGAGATGATGCGCCGATGCTGAGATGACACGACGTTATTGGGAATTAATCAGTTAAGTGATGTTACAACATTCAGCAGACTATGCTGCATTTCTGCAGGGAGTTTGGCTTTAAAAGAGACAGAGATACAGTATCAGAAATAATGAGCAAAGAAAAAGGGGAGGAGAGTTTGCCTCAAACTACAGATTTAATGAGACACTGGAGCGGGAAGGATGTAAGGATAACAACGAAAACACACAAAAAAGAAACACATTCCTTGGAGGAATGAACATTTTATGCTGTCTTTCATGGCAAGGTTTTAAACTAAAAACATCTTATGAGGGGACAGTTATTGGAGTCTTGGTCAAACCTTGTAAACAACATTATGTGCAAGTTCATGCAATTGTATTCAAAACAAAAAAATCAGTAGGTCCTCTGGACGGGTTCTTCTTTAGTGAAACGTTTCGTCTCTCCTCCAAGAGACTTCTTCAGTCTGATGAG